GGGGGGGGGTCCCTGGGCTGCTGGGGGGGTGGCTGGGAAAGCTGGTGGGAGGTGGGGGGTAGAGGGAAGGGGTCTCGGGGAGCACTATGGGGGGGGTGGTCGGGACTTCCCGGGAACGTGGGAAAAGCACATCCCGAGCAGGGACCCGCAGCAGAGCCCCGGGAACGGAAAAACACGGTGCCAGAATCCGTGACCCCGAGAGGGGCGGTCTGTGTGTGCGGGTGGAACAAGGAATCCCCGGGGCTGGACGGGGAGACCCGGAGGGGGAGGCTCCGGGATCCCCCCGGGCGTCACCTGCGCTCGCGGTTCCACTTGATGAGGGTGTAATAGCCCAGCAAGAGGCTCCCGACGCCGATGGCGAACAGGCTGTACCCTGAGGGCGTGGGGGGGGGCACGGTCAGAGCGGCACCGGGGGGGGCCACAGGGGCCGGGATGGGTCCCCCCGAGCGATACCCCCCGAGTCCTGGGGGGGCTCCGGCGCCCACCTGAGAGGCCCCTGCGCGGGAGGTGCCGCTTGTAGTCGATGGGGCCGTACCCGCCCGGCGGGGCCATGTCCTGCTTCACCTTCGGCGCCGCCATCGCGGCGCTGCCCCGTGACGTCACTGCCCCGCGACTCGCCGCGCGGGAGCCACGTGATGCGTCACGTGGGGGAGGAGGGGGCGCGGCTTAAAAGGGCAACGCGCGGGTTTAAAAGGGCAACGCGGAGAGTGGGGCCCGGAGCGGTGGGGTTTGGAGCCAGGGGGGATCCAGAGCTCCTCTGGGATCGCCTTCCCACCCAACGGGCTCCAGGACTTCCTTGGGATCATCTTCACACCCCCCCAACCCCGACATCCTCGGAATAAGAGGCAGATCCAAGTGTTTCTCCATTTGTTTATTGTCCTTCCAATACTGAAACCCCCTCACAATACAGTTATGGATTAATTATTGATTCCAGATCCTTCTGCTGCTGAGACTGTCAGGGTTTAGTGGGAAATTATTATCTTTTATTATTATTATTTATTATTATTAGTAGTAGTAGTAGTAAATGTCGGGGTTGTTATGGGAGATTTGGAGTCACAATAAATCCAAGGGAAAAACTCCCACCCTGTGCTCCCTCCTTCCAAAAGGAGAGGGAAAAATGAGCCAAATCGGGTTTTTTTTATGAGCTCTCCCTAAATTTGCTCCACTCCCTCCTGCAGCCCAAACCCCTCATTTGCCATCCCGGACTGTACTTTGGGAATTTAATTTTTCCTTAATAAGCCAGAAATAAAAAGTTTTAACTGGGTCTGAGAATCCAGAGGGAAATGAATGGATCCCAAAACGATGCTAAAAACACCTGTAGAAGCAAAAAAACCCAACCCCAAACGAGCTTGGATTTATGATTATCCAAGAGTTTCTCCTCACCATCACAGCTGGAATGGCAGGTACAGGAATCCCTGGAACGCAGAAATGAGTGAAGTCCACGAGCTGGAAAGGCTGGAGAATAAATTAATTATCTTTATATTTATATATATGTATATATATATATATATAAAAAAAAAAAGAGAATGAAATCCAAGAAAAACCACACGGCTCCCAAAATTCCAACACGGGTTTCCAATGAAAATCCGGGGTTTATTTCACAAGTTGCTAAAATCTAAAGTACAACAGTCGTTTCCCATTATTTTAGTCACTGGCTTAGAAAATTCCCGTCGTCGCGACGTCGCCGAGGGAGGGTTTTTTTTTTTTATGGCTTTGCGGGAATCCCTCGATCCCTCTCCCCAGGAGAGGCGGGAGCCGGACCCCCCCCCCGGAACAGCTCATGCAGCGAAGCAGTGGAGGGGCGGGAAAACGGGATACGGGGCCGGATATTCCACCCGGAGGGTTTTCCGGGGCGCTCCCGGGTTTTCCGACGGAGCGCGGAGTCCGACGGGAGGTTTGTGCCGCTCCAGGAGGTGATTCCCCGACAGATCCAAGAGCCCTCAGGGATTTGGGAATTCCAGAGGTGATCCAAGAGCCCTCAGGGATTTGGGAATTCCAGAGGTGATCCAAAAGCCCTCAGGGATTCAGGAGTCCCAGAGGTGATCCAAGAGCCCTCAGGGATTCAGGAATCCCAAAGGCTTCAGGGATTCAGGAGTCCCAAAGGTGATCCAAGAGCCCTCAGGGATTCAGGAATACCAAAGGTGATCCAAGAGCCCCTTTGGAATCAGAAATCCCAAAGCTCTCAGAGATTCAGGAATCCCAAAGGCCTCAGGGATTCAGGAATCTCAAAGGTGATCCAAGAGCCCTCAGGGACTCAGGAATCCCAAAGGTGATCCAACAGCCCTCAGGGATCCAGGAATCCCAAAGGCCTCAGAAATTCAGGAATCCCAGAGGCCTCAGAAATTCAGGAATCCCAGAGGTGATCCAAGAGCCCTCAGGGACTCAGGAATCCCAAAGGTGATCCAACAGCCCTTTTGGAATCAGAAATCCCAAAGGCAACAAGTAGGAATAGGAATAGCAGTAGGAATAAACCCAAGATTTGTTCCTAAGTTTGCATCTAAACCCCCCTCCTCCACAATTCCCAAGGATTTCCCCTCCAGGCAGACCCATGATGGGAATATTCCGTTTCATTGAGATTCTTCTGTTGTTTTTTCCCATGTTTTTGTGGGGTTTCTTCCGGCAAAAAGGAGAACAGGAGGATGAGGAGGAGGTTTGGAAAAACTGTATTAAAGTGTTTGAACAACTATTTCAACCTGACCGAGCCCAGTCCCACAACACCCAACTCAACACCGGGGCTCCGGCCCCAAAGGAAAAGCCTCTCTCCCGGAATTCACACATGGATCCACTTCAATCCTTCCCAAGATTTATCCACGATTTGGCAGAAACAGGGATGCAACGAAACAAACCCCCCGGATCCCCCGCGGCATTCCCGGGAGCACGGCTGGAAAACCACGTCAGAACCCCCTGGAATCCCAACAGCCTCATTCCCTGCTGGATTTCATGGGGTTTTTCAGCCTCTTTCCATGTAGGATTTTTCCCTTCCCTTCAAAAAAAAAATCTCCCCCAACCCCTAAAATAGTAATTTTTGGGGGTTTTATTCTCAATTACACACAAAGAAATTCGGGATCTAAAGCTTTTTTAAGCCTGGACGTTCCAAACCTTAAAACTAAAATATCCCCGATTCTTTTAAGGCTTCTTTTAAATTCTCCACGTTGGGCTGAAATTCCCAAAGTTTCCAAGCACTGAGCTGGTGGGATCCCAAAAGGTTTTGACGTCGCTTTTGTAACATTTGATTTTATATTTTCATCCTTCTGCCCCTCTTTAACTCCCTGTTTTGTTTTTTTTCCCCAGAATCATCCAAAGTTGTTCCCCAACACTGGGAATTAATTGGGAAGTTGCCCAGGTTTCCCCCCCCCCAAAAAAAAGGTTTTTGGATTTTAATTTGAGGAGTTTTCCTTGGTTTTTTTTGAACCAAACAAACTTTTCCAGGGGATTTAACAGAGATCCAACATCGGCATCGACGAGGAGAAAACACAGGAATTCATCAGAGGAGAGGGGAAAAAAAAAAATCCCCGGAAACCAACCAAAAAAATTCCACACAGGGAAGGAACTGAAACTTTCCCGGAATATCAAGTGCAAAAGGCAAATGCACTCCCAGTTCTCCCTCCATATTCCCAACCCAAACCAGCCTGGAATGAACAGAAACCTCCCAAAACTTCACCCCAATTCCCCCTCCTCTGTCCCCCTTTTAGTTCTTCGGATCCCTTTGGAAGATTGGAATTCCGGGGCTTTATATCCGGCAACAAACAAATCCCAGTTTGGAAAACGAGGAGGGTTTTTTTTCAAGGAGGTTGGGAAAAAATCCCTAAATCTCGATCTTCACCCAGCAGGGAAAAAGGGAGGAGGGGGGGGGAAAGGAAAGGCTGGAATTCTGTCACTACGCCGCGGGCAGATCCGAGGGGGGGGACACGACCCTAAGGAATTCTTGGCTTCAAGTTTCGATCTCCCAGCGACTGCTACGAAAATAAACTCGGCTCCGACGGAACCCCCTTCCCCCTCTTATATATAGATATATAGATTATATATATATATATATTTAGACTTTCCCAAATAATTCTCATCATCAGCACTTCCTTCCAGCACTGATATGCAAACACAAGGCGTAAGGCATGGAATTCTGCCGCTTCAATTCGACTGGAAACCCGGGAGAAGCACGAAGGAGGAGGGACGAGGAACGAAAACCAACCAAACCGGACCCGATGGGATTTTTTTGGGATCAACCAAAACTTTCCCCCTAAAGCTCCACCCGAAGCGGGATGGTGATGGATTAGAGGAGCATGCTTGGGATGCCTGGAAGAACTCGGAAGGGATCCCCCCCCAAAACGTGCTGGGAACGGCCGGAATTCCCGGTGGGAATCACCGGAGGGAGGATCTGCCGGCGCCTCCCGCTCTCTCTCCCTGATTGCATGCAGCTCCTGGAATTCCTATTCTTTCGAGTTAATATTCCTCCAAACAACAACAACAACAACAAGAGAAACAAAACAAAAAAAAAAAAACAAAAAAAAAAAAAAAAGAGAAACCAAAACCCCTCCAAAAGGAAAAATTATCCCAAACGGTTTCACTTCGGAGTCTCCGGGAACGTAGGAAAGGCCCAACTGCTCTTCGCTGAATTAGAAAGACCCAACAAAGGTTTTTGTCTAGTCAGTAAATTAGGTTTTTAAACTACCAACGGTTCCAAAGTCTATTCCAAACAGAATCCAACAAAAGTGAGAGACTCCTGCGTGGCTCCCACCGACCAGACAAGTTTTGGTGGCAGCCAATCCCTTGGGAAAAGGACCGTACTCAACCGGAATCGGAGTCCGCACTTATTTATCGTTAGCTCGTCACCACCAGAAGGAGATTTTGGGAATATCAGGATGTGTAGACTCCCTTCCTGGCTGGAGGAGGGGGCAGGGGAAGAGGAGCAGCCACGAACTCGGCTCACTAAATGCAGGATGGGGCTGGAATTCCTCCCTCCTGGCCCCTGAATTCCACGCTGGAGCGCGACCCGGCGCCGCGGGCCCGGCGCGGGGTTTGTCGCCGGGGAACGAACCCAAAGGCAGAGAGAAGTCACTGAGTCCTTTGTGCTGGTGACGGAAAAATCCAAACTAAATACAGAAAGCCAAAAAAAAATGAAGGAATCCTTCCCCTCCCTGCCAGCCTCCGTCGGAATCCGGGACCCGCGGGGGTCACTCCTCTCGGCAGGGACGGCGGCGCTCGGTGGGATGAGGAGTGGTCTTCTTGCATCCTAGAAAGCCTGGGGCGTATCCAGCTGGGATTAAAGCAGATTCCACGGAACTGTGGTATAAAAAGGATGGCAGAAACAGGACAAGTCTTGCCGGGCATTATTTCCACGTGGCCGACTGTGGGATGGAGCGGGGCGGGATCATATCCAGGAGATACTCGCGCTGCCGGTCCACGGCCGAGGCCGATTTGTGCACGGCTAAGCTGGGACTGACGAAGGGCAAAGCCCCACCTGGGCATGGGGGAGGAGAAGGGAGAACAGGAGTCATGGAATGACACGGACACGAGGCACAACGGGGGCAAAACCCACCCCTGATCCCTGTGGGAATGGGGCACCCCGGGCACGGATCATCCCAGGCACGGATCATCCCCGGGTCGGACTCCTGCAGGAGGTGGGAGCTCCCAAAAAAATCATCTCAACAGAGGGAGATTTCAGGACCAGAGATGAGGATTTGAACTCTCTGGAATGAGGATCTGAATGAGGATCTGAGCTCTCTGGAACGAGGATCTGAGCTCTCTGGAATGAGGATCTGAGCCCTCTGGAATGAGGATCTGAGCCCTCTGGAACACAATTACATCTTAACTGATCGATTAAACTGTCAGGGATGAGAGAATCCTGGGAAATCCACCAGTGCTGGGCAAGAGGGATCACAAAGGAGCCGTTTGCTCCAGTGGTTCCTTCTTGGAAATCCTGGAATTATCATTCAGGTGAAAAAATGACTCTTAAAACGTGATAAACCAACCTCATAAAAAAGGTTGGATTAGAATTTATGATTTCCGTTTGTTCAAAGAACAGCTTCAGTGATCCCGGATCCTGAGAATATCGGGAACATTCCTACGGGAATTTGAGATATTCCAATGGGAATTCCAACACGAACCCACTTATTTACTGGGTGTTACTTCCAGCAAAGAGAAAACATGGGTCAAAAATGAAAGGATTTAATGAAACCCCCAGAAATGAAGGACAAACCCCCGGAGTGCTGGGTGTGCACAGGGACTCTGGGATCACCAGCTGGACTTCAAATCCCTTCAGCTGAGCCACAAACGTGGAAAACAGGAGGGTTTGTTTGGTTTCATCCCCTTGGATGAGGACAAACCACCCCAAAGGCAACAATCCTAAGAGTTGATGCTCAGCACCCTCATTTCTCCGGGCGGGAAACCCCACTGGGAAAGGGATCCCGCAAGGAAAACAGCCCTTCCTCCAAGCCCTGGGAATGCTGGGCAGGGAGCAAAGGGAGAGGAGGCTCCAGGGGAGCCCTTCCTCGTGCTCAGGGGGAGCCCTTACCCGTGCTCAGGGGGGTTTTCTTCCAGGCCGCGCTGCCCTTGCTCCCGGAACGCTCCACGTGCTTCCCGCTCCGGCCGCCCAGCGAGGCCGAGGGGCTCTGGAGTTTGGGGGACGGGCTGAAGCTGTGCAGGACCCCCCGCGAGGCTCCGGCCCCTCGGGACATCTGGCTGGAACTCTGGAATACAGGGGACACGGATCCCATGGTTAGTTCCACCCTAAAAATAACCTGAGATGGATTTTGCAGGACACAATCCCCCCCTAGAACAATCCCAAGGCTCCTCTTTTCCCCATCACCCCCAAGCCTTGGCATCTCTTCCCACCCAAACCAGTCTAGGATCTTATAATTCCTGCTAAAGCCAACCTCATACAGATTTTCCCTTACCCAATTTCCCCCTGGACAATCCCAAGGCTCCCATTCCCCTCCTGATCCCTTCCCACCCAAACCACTGTGGGATCCCATGCTTAGTTCCCCCCTAAAACCAACCAGAGACAGATTTTTCCTTACCCAATTCCCCCCTGGACCACCCCAAGGCTCCCATTCCCCTCATGATCCCTTCCCACCCAAACCACTGTGAGATCCCCATGATTAGTCCCCTCTAAAACCATCCCGGGGTGGATTCTGCAGGACACAATTCCCCCCTGGATCCCCCCAGCCCCCGGGGGTGTTTCCATACCTGCTTGAGCGAGTGGTGCTGCACGAGGGGCTCTGCCTTGGGCTGCCCCGGGGGGGCCGTTTGCTGCAGGATGCGCTGCTCGATCTCCTGCTCCTGCTGCAGGGCCTTGACGAAGGCGGCCTTGAGGCGGTTCGTGTGCTCGGCCTTCAGGGCCTTCTTCTGGTTGGAGGTCATGCAGGTCTCGCACATGATGGTGCCGTTCTTCTCCTCCCGCCAGCGGCACGTGAAATCCGTCTGGCACTGCGCGCACACGAAGGGCTCGCGCGCCGCCGCCGCCACCAGAGCCTTGCCTGGGGACACACGGGGGTCAATCCTATGGCCCTTGGGGACACTGAGACACAGGATCGACCCTACGGCCCTTGGGGACACACAGGGGGGATCAATCCTACAGCCCTTGGGGACACTGAGATATGGGATCGACCCTACAGCCCTTGGGGACATGGCAGGGGGGATCGACCCTATGGCCCTTGGGGACAC